GCAGCTTAGTTTAGAAGCTTAGTGTTCTAAAGAGTCAAGCTGATGATCTAATCAGCATATTTGAACCCTGAGCCCTGGATAACTTCCTCAAATGACTGTTCTCTGGAGTGCCAACTGCCCATGGTCCTCACAAAGAACAAATGTGTAAGTAAAGACTGAGTAAATAAGATGAGATCAATAACACATCGTATTCCTAAGAACAGATACTAATTACGCACTGAAATGCTAGCTAGCTATAGCCGGGTGTGATTTTTGCCTACCTGTAATCCCAACACTTAAGAGGTCAAGTCAGGGCAAGCATAGTGTGAGGCCAGTCTGGACTACATAGTTAGACTCTGTGAAAGGAGAGAAGGAAAAAAGGAAAGAAAGAGAAAGCAAGAAAGCATGTAAGCAAGAAAGAAAAAAGAAAAGGAAGAAAAGACAGAAGGAGAAAAGAAAGGGAGGAAAGAAGAAGGAAAAATTGGAAAGAAAGAAGGAGGAAGGTATGGAGAGAGAAGCTAGTTATCACTTGTTCGAAGTTAAAAATCTTAGTAGGCTGGAGATCCTGGTATAAATTTGAAAAATGTTGAAAAGATACATCCCCAAATAATTCCAAACTGAGTTCAGCAATCAAGTAGTTTTATTGTCACTAGAATCATCACCTTGCCCCTATATAAACGTTCCTATAGCCAGCAAATGTCTTGGAATATTAAACAAAACTTCTAAGCCCAGAATCTAACACAGTAAAATTTCAGAAGCTATGATCCTTTTGGATGACTGAGTTGGACACGTATCTTGTGTGTTAACCGGTTTCCAAGGTAGTACCCCATGTCTCCTGCATCTTGTGTTGCTCCTTCCCTGTGCCAGGGTTTGGCTGTGTGTCCACTGGAACAGAGCAAGCAGAAGTGAGGGAGTGACATCCATCCCATTGGAGTCTGCTTGGTAATAGTCATGGCAGCTTCTTCCAGTCACAAAGTGAAAAACAGAGTCAACACAGCAGCTGACTGACCAGCAATAGACAGCTAATAAGGAGATACCTTATTGCCACCTTGAGGCTCACAGTCCTTAGAGAACCTTTGATCCTGGAGACAAAGGCCTTTCAAAACACATTTCCAAAAGTATCATGGAGGATGCCCGCATGCTTGTTACCCTAGTTCTGGGAAGGCAGTGACAGGGGAGCCCTGAGATTCTTTGGCCAGCCAACCTATCCTACTACATACCCCATAGCGAGAGACCCTGTCTAAAACAAGGTAGATTGTTGCTGAGAAACAGCACTTGGGGAGGGCCCCTGGCCTCCACATGGACACACAGACACACACACACACACACACACACACACACACACACACACACACACA